ACAAGGGCAGATATGGTTGAAAATTTGCTTTTGCTCATAGGGGTACTTCGACCTCTGAAACCTATATCACATTCCTTCTCTACAAACTGTTTGGCGTCCACGCCAAAATATCCTGTACCACCAGATTCGCTGAAACTTGTCCCTAGTGGTAATTTGACCCCTGAACATGAATATCACATCCGCTTGGGCCAAAACCGTCGCTGAGCCTTGTATACGTTATTTGGCATTCTTATTACGAATATGGCATTTATTCCTGCCGCCGGCGCCAACGTAGGACACCATGAACATCTGATCACTCATTTCCCCACGTTCAGCCTTTACAGAACGCTTAATGGCAGTGGTATGGAGAAATAAATGCCACACTCGTGATAAGGGCTTCGAGCAACCCTATTACACAGGTTTTCATCGATTCTGGTGAGGAAAGCGCCAGAGATTAATGATATATTGGTGATCATGCCATCGAATAACATCTGAAGACAAAGTCTTAGCGAAAACTTTTTTGAGTTTTTGGGATAGGAATAGTTCAATAGTGCAGAAAAAAGATGTACTGGAGCATCCAGCAGGCCTACAGATCTTATGAGCACTACTCCATGCAATCGTTCTATTCGCTCTCCTTCGCATCGCAACACACAGCGTGTAACCCAGGCAGTTTTGACAGTCGTAAGATACTGTGTTTGGTGTGCATTCAGATTTATTTACGGCTCCCCTGGGGGTACGGTGTATGATTTCTCGCCTACTGAAGTTACCGTACTGTCGCGTTTTGAGCGTTCTATATCCTCTTGAGTATCGCCAACATTTTCAGTCACAATCGATAGACTTTCACAGTCGCTCAAAACGATGAAGCAAAGTGTGAAGGAAATAATTCGGGTATAATAGGTCTCCTCACCCCTTTAACCTTTCATAGTTGACGGTTAGAAAATCACGCTGCGATTCATGTTATTGTCAGTCCTTTCATAAAATTCGCCTATATTTTGTTTCCGCGCCATTATGTGTGTTTCCACTGCAGCTGGTGTGCATCTTGCCTGCACATGTTAACCTATTGATCTGAAGTCTCGACTGCCTTTTTTCGGCTTTATCTTATTGTTTTTTCTATTCAGCTGCTAATTTTGATTAACGTGAGAGGTCATTAAATCCATTCATGTTCGCGTGGGCAACCCATCTATCACGACTATTTGGTTATATGCACGATGTAGAAGGAAACTGCATTAAAAAAGAAATTGAGACTCTCCTTCCCAGTTCAAACAGAAGCACTGCCCAGCAGCAGCACTGGAAATATACATAATGGCGCAGACACTTGACAATAACAATCGCCGGGCTGAGTACAGCATCGTTGTGTGAACCACATACAGGGGATCGTACATTTTTTCTGGGGAGGAGGTTCTGTTTGGTCGTGGGGACGTTGGAGGAACTCTCCCGTTTCACATTGGTTATATACCCCACCACCCCCCCCCCGCCCCACTCCCCTCCACGGAAAATTTTTGGGTGAAAAAAAACATGGGTGAAATTTGTAGGCAGGTGTTGGGGAAGGGAAGGGGTCGTACCGAGACCCTCGCTCAGGTGGGGGGGCATACTGATACCCTCGGGATCGTACCTACACCACCACCTCACACATCAGGATACTATACCCTGTCGCGGGGTGATTTCCTGGACGACAATAATGTGAACGATAAAGGGGTGAGGAAACCCATTATCCCATCAGTCAGAATTCGTTCATATTTGCGTCTGCGTTTTGAGCGACTGTGAAAGTATAGGTATCGATCCAGTCTTCGGAGCGTTTGCCAGCGTTCTTAGAGACTAATAAAGATATAGATATCATTGACGGAATAAATATTGTATTTGCAGCTTAGTATTTTCATGGTTTAACTTGTAGATTTCTGAATCATTACTGTTTGAATCTCTTGAACATTTCATACTTCGCTCGGATGGCGATCGATTAGCGAAGTATGAAATGGCTCTGATCATCACGCTCATTTCTCTATGAATTTTTTGTCCTATCACTAAAATTATAAAATCCTACACGGTAGCCAAGAAGATGAGCGCCTACGAAAAACCTCCTTTCTTTTGGAAGTGCTTGGTTTTTGACGGTCTTCCTATTGAATGTACTACAATGGATCCTAAGTGGCAGATTTAACTAGAACCATTCCACGTCCGCCCCTACGATAAGGGACATGATCATAGGTAGGCAAGTGAATCGAAGGCGCGTCGCGGGTAGTCTAATACTAAGTAGGTCCACACAGTAATATCGCGTCAATAATTAACCAGTGATGTATTTACTCACTCGCCTTTGTCTTCTACAGGATCTCAGAAAGAAAAACAAAGTAGATTCAGGCCCAGGTGGCTGAAAGGCAAACAGTCGTCGTAGAATGAGTCCGAGACTTTGAAAACAAAGTACACCATCGCCGATATTCCCTCGCCGATAAAGTTCTTTCCCACAGGGTTACCTGGCAGTGGTTTTGTTTGCAATGGCCCTCTACTGTCCTCGAAGCCTTTTTTAATAGGCTCTTCGTTGGCTTCCATTTTAGCTTTGTAATAATGAGGAACTTATTACCTTTAATGGATATTCCGTTCAAAAGAATGAGATCTTTCGAGAATAGTTTCGCCGCAGCCAGTTTTCTTTTCCTAGGGTTCTCTTGCGACGCCTCGTTTTACATTTGTCTGACAGTTGTTGCTGCGTTTAGTAGTGAAACATTTTTCAGCATAGCGGTTCCTCCATAAGGCGCATACCTATCATTCATTGCATCTCGTGGGCCTTTTTCTGTGGTCTCTTTGGTCAAGATGTAGTCTTCGTAAATTCGGTAATAACGAAGCCCTAGCACCATTTCACTGTATTTTGGATTCCTCGTGAGTGCGCGTTCAGACTTCGCGATCGCGCGGTCGGATCGCGCTACTGGAATAGTGAAATTCACACTGGGGGGGGGTCATGTTTGTTCATGTTGTTCCTGTTATCTTTCAAATAAACACAATAAACATGAACAAACATGACCCCCATCCCAGTGTGAATTTCACCCGTCCCAGTAGCGTGATCGGATCGCGCGATCGCGACTGAACGCGCTGTGAACCATTCCCAGCCTGCTAACATTACCGAGGCTAAGTTACCATTTCTGGAAAGTCTATTTGAGATATGATTATGAATTCATTGTAAATGGCCGTGATCTATTTCTATCAAAATTGCCTCTGATGGGGAGATGGCGTAGCGGCAAGCGTGGCAAGCGGCACGCTTGCCACGCGCACGGTCTGGTGATCAAATCGTGGACCGGCTCCCGTCCAGACCAAGCCAGCAACTTCCCCGCGAGGAAGGTAAATTTGTACCAGGTTCGCTGGAAAGGCAGGAGCGCTGATTTGTATATCGACTACACCCCGCAATTCATTGTATAGGCCACATCGCATTCAAACCACTACAACTCTGCATGGAATTTGAATGCCTGCTGCAGACTCACCGTCTTCTGGTCAGTTCGAAGTGAAGTTGTCATATGGAAGGAACGGTCGAGCTCCCCTCCTCAACCCGCGGAATTCACGAGGTCCTTTCACAGTGGATAAACCGTCGCGCTATAAGAAGAGAGTGCAAAAGTGACAAATTTTAAGATACGACGGAAATAATGAAGACGCACAAACTTCCAACAACGATTAGTACAATGTCAGTCCCACTGAACGAAATCAAGACCAGTTCGACGTCTGGTTGACTAAGCCACGGGTGTCGAGGTGAGGCGCTCCTTCAGTTCAAGAAAGCTTCTTCATGAACCTCCTTCCATTCCCATGGGCTTTTACACTCGTTAAATCGAATAGCGAGACGTGCAATACGTGAGAACCCACACACAAATTTTCTATAGTAGCTACACATTCCTAGAAATGTACGCATTCCGCGACGTTCGTTGGCTCACGGATAATTCTGGATTTTCTCTACTTTTGCCGGGTCCACTCTCACTCCCATCTCCTGCAATTTCGTGTCCCAGGAACATCACTTTATTGTCATAAGGACACACTTCTGAGGTTTCAGCTTCAACCTCGCTTCTCGCAACGCTCGGAGCACTGCTTCTTAGCACTTCAATATGGCGCTCCTTAGTCTCCGTAGCATAAAGTATATCATCTATATATACGAAAACTTTCTTTATCGCGCAAACCCCTCTGGAACCGGAGGGAGACGTGCACAACACGAATGGAAGTACCTTGAACTGAAATAATCCCTCTGAGGTAGTGAAGCGCTCTTCCTTTTAGCATCTTCAGACAAAGGGATTTGCCAGTACCCCGACGCCATATCCAGAGTACTGAAGTAGCGCCTTCCTTTTAAACTTTGCAGAATCACGTCAATCCTTGCAGGGGATATGCGTCTTGTTTTATGTGTTTGTTCATTTCGGTAATCTATGCAGAGCCTCAAGGATCCGTCCTTCTTCTTGACCAAAACTACGGGCGATGCCCAATCCGGACTCGACTCCTCTATAATGCGCGTTCCAGAAGTTCCTTTATCATACCCTTGAACTGTGCACGCGCTCCTATCGGTATTGGTCTGGTCTTCTGACGTATGGGCGCAGTATCTCCGGTGTCGACTTCTTGCACCACAAGATTCGTCTGCGTAAGCTCCCCGATCCTCAACCGCAAATACATCGTGGTAACACTCCAACCAGTCTCCACAAGTCAGGTTCGTCCGGTAGCCCTTTCTCCCTGTTGTCTCTTAGATATGCATTCAGCATTCGCCACCTTTCTCCAGTCTGAAGACAGGTTTACCTACAACCAGCATGTCGTTGGCTTCTCTCGCCGCTACTTTGGCATATTCGGAACCACTTGGCTCCAAGTGCCCACCTCTTGGTTCACTTTCAATACCAGAGCCTCCGGCGTAGCATTCAACACTGGTACTTCGGTTACGCCATCTTCGTCTATAAAACACAACCCCTTAGTATCCACTCGCAACATGAATGCCAGCATGTGTTCACCCGCATGCGCTTTCCCTTGAGTGTCACCCATTTGTAGTTCGCCCGGGCGACATACCTCTCCTGCCTACTACGGCCTTATTTTGTGTTTTCGTCTTCATAGGGGCTGCAATGGTTGCCTTCCTTTGGCATCTTTCTCTTGTCTGGATAGTCGTCCGTATGTTGAATTAACACATAATTCAGAGCTTTCAAGCATTTGTAACCAGCACTAGCATAGTCCCATTCTGTGGACACACGTGCATCTGCAGCGTTATTTCCCTGTTGTTGCCCTCCTGCAGCGGCACTTCGACCACCTTCACAAATTTCATTCGCGTTTCCTGACGCATCGAAAATGCTCTTGTCCTTGTCCACTGGATGCTCTCGCAGCCTATGGCCTTCCCTCTCGATCCGCTGACCACTCTTAATGGTACTATCGAGATTTCGGAGCCTGTGTCAAGTATGCGCGTCCAAACACTACCGAAAATCGTTACACTGGTGGCGAACTTCTGTCCAAACGCTGGTACCTTTGTTGACGTTCCTCTCTTTTGGGTACCGTCGCCCTTGGCTTCTTCCGATACCACATTAGTGCCCTACTACCAACTTCTCCTCTTTTCTTACAATCTTTTGCTATATGCCTTTGCCCTTGCAGTTATAACAGCGCACTCCTCGTGTCTGTTGGCTCTGCCACCTTTATCTCGAGCGGGATACCTCTTCTCGGTTAATGCTGTCCTTGTTGTTGTCATCTCTCCTGTGGTTTTGTTCTTTCTTGGGGGGCTCCCATGATATTTTCGCCTCGAGCCCCTTCGAAGCGATTCGCCTCTTTCCTTATATGAACGTGCGACCTAGCATTTTCCAAAGTCATCCTTCTTCTCTCCACGCGCATTGCTGCTTGCTTCAGGTTTGCATACGCACTGTACCCATCCTTCTCCATCGCCTCCATGAAGTAGTACGATTCCGGCCAATGAACTACTTGTTCGTACAGCTGCTGCGCTCTAACCGTCGACAAGGTTCCCTCATCCAATTCAGGGTATGCTTTGGCGACAATCTCTCCAAGCTCTACCACAATACTCCGCTATTGTTTGAGTTTCTAATTTTTTGAGCTGTCGCAATTTACTGAGCGCGAGCACTTTTTTGTTTTATCATCTTCTTTATTGGCCCTAGACAAGGCTGCCATGATTTCTTCAAATGAACCATGCCCTTACCTCACGTGGCAACGCTTCATACTGCGCCTCTGCCTTACCACTTAACTTGGATTTGAGCAACATTCTTAAGTTCTTTGCTTGACAGCTTATGCCTAGGATACTTCAACAGGAACGCCTCCGTAAAGCTATCCCATGTATAGTCTCTATCACTACCCGAATATACTTTTACATCTGGTAGTGCTATATATTTTCAAATAACTATCCATGTGGACTATTCCCAAAAGGTTCGCTTTTTCTACTGTACACAAGCTCGTGTTCGAACTTAGAGCAACTTTCACATTCACTGTCCTCATTTTCACTTGAACGTTAAGCTGGACTCACCGAAGCATCCAGCTTCCTCCTTGAGGATCGACCCGATTGTGCGACATCAAGCGATTCGAGCTGCGCGCCTCTTCTGGCCCACTCTGACACATTCACTTCAGGGCACAGTTCTTTTTGAGTCTACGCAACGGATTCCAATTTATGTCTCACTTTGCGGGTCATGTTTCTCACCTGGTATTGCTTCACGCTTGACTTCTTTCCCGTGTCTTTTAGAGCTCATGCAGCTCCTTCTTCTGGCTTCAACTGACTCTGTAATGTACGCACTTCATCTCTTTTTGTATCAATCGAGCCATTTTCTTTTTCAACTCAGTGCAATTGCTCACCAGTTCTTCTTGACTCCACTTAGTCACCCTTAGAACTCGTCGACTACGGCTGCTTTCTCTACCAAGCCTTCTATCGTCTCTACGAATTCTAATTTGTTTCACACTCAAAGACGCCCTGAGTTGCCTATAGCTCTGCTGCTCTTTGGCGCATTTTTTCGAAGGCTTCCCCTGACCTTCGATACTCCTTCCTCAGCAATTGATACTGCCATACTGGCAACCTGCTCAAACTTTCTCTTTTGGGGCGCTACTGCGGCCAGTGTTTGACTGACCTCGCCCCCACTCAGATTTCTATTTCCTTGATCCTTTGCACAACTGATCACATACCTTGAGGCTGCTCCCAGCTCCTCAAGCAGGTGGCGCTCCTCCGCATTTCCACATCACGGTTTCCCGAATTTTCTATGGGTACCGTTTCGCCTGCAAACAGGTATGATGATACCAGTTCCCTCAGCGTCCTTAGACGCTTCTGACCCTGCCGATTTAGGAAGCCGGTCAGAGAATGTGTAGTGCCCAAGCCTCTTCTTTCTGGCAAGAATCAATCGCCAGCCCTCACCACACAGCGTTACTGACGATTCCTTAACAGAAGAAGGGACCTGACACCACAACGGTGGTCTCAGCGAGCTGGGCTCCGCTTCTTGGAGCACTGACCCGCTAGCCGTGCGAAACCGTTGGTGACCACTCTAGGCAAGCGCAAGGGCCACAACGCTAACACAAAGACAAAGAAAGTTTGTCTCACCTGACTGTTCCTTGCAGACGGCGGCTTGGCCCCCAAAGTGCTGGTACTATACCGGTTAACCGTTCCTCCAAACACAGTCAAGTGAACACAAAACTTTCTTTATTAGCACACAGAAGAAACGACACAAAAAAATCTACTACTCACTAGACACACACAAAAGAAATCGAGGAGCAGAGGTTTTAACCCAGAGAAGACGAAAAGCAAAAAGCAGATCCCCAGCGCACGAGAGCGCGAGAGTCCCCCTTATATACCGCGCAGCTTCGCGCCAAAAGCATTCAAACGATCCCGCTCATCCAGTCGAATCGATCTCTGCGCCGATCCCCTGTCACCGATTCGGCGGCTGAATCTGATCAGCTTAGTTAGGATTAGAACTTGAGGATTAGAAAAAGAAGTTAAGATTTACTCTGCTATCCACAAGATGGCCGTATTCGTAGCACGTATCTCTCGGAATGACTTGTAATAGAATATGGCCATGTTTGGGCTCGTGTGACAAAACTTGATCCTGTGCAGGACTTCCGGTACGACGACGACGATACGCCCATGTTCTTGCCCATACTGCACTGACTGCGCAATAGTCTCCCATTCTAGATTCTTCGCGATTCTCCACCCGTATTCGATGACCCTCGTTGCATCGCAAGGCCATCCCGGGAGCTGCGAATGACGTAACGGAGCTTCCTGCGGCACAGTCCCCGCCATAATCGAGACATGGAGACAGCGATGTCGGAAGAAAGCGTATGCGAATCCTATCGCTTTGGGAGTCAGCACCTTGTATGACTTGTCCATGATCCGCTGAACCTTTAGAGAAACGGATCCTGAATCCCACCATATCGCTAGGACTCGCGCGGCATCCAGCACGCATTCGATACGCTCATCACACGCCGGTTGCGGTACGACCGAAAGAAGCTGACCAACTCGAGTGGTACGACTACAACGACAAGAATCAAGAGGGAAGCTCGCTCTGCCTTCGACCGCGGGAAACGGTTGGCCATCACAGCGAAATCCGACGTGCAGGAAATGCATGACATCGGCGACGTCGTACTCGTCCTTCGACCTGAAACAGATGTTCTTCTTTACTAGAACCTGTGCACAAAAGATATCATTCTCACTATTCTTGCTCTTTCTACCCCTTTTTCTCTTAGAAACAACTTTCACTGGTTCATCACTAATCTCATCTGGGCATTTGAGCAACAAGTCAAATTGTACTCGGACTGGGTCTTCATTTTTGGACAAGTTCGTTATCAGTGCCGAGTTATCACTACACTCAATAACTCTAAACGGTCCACTCCAATCTATCGTCAACTTTGGGTGTCCTGCTAGTGCTTTCTCTCTCGGCATCTTCATAAAAACCCTATCTCCTAACTGGGGCTTATAATGCATATTGACACCTTTTTTATCATCATAGTACTCCTTCATTCTCTTACGATATTTTTCGTTATAGTCTCTCACTTCGTCATGTATGAGCTTTATTCCGCGCATCAACTCGGCTTTGTAGTCATCTAGATCTATGCGGCTCAGCTTCACACGGTTTTCTGGCACCGAGTTAAGTGGTACCACCGGGTCAAATCCATGCAGCAGAAAAAATGGACTTTCCCCTGTTGCGGCGTGCGGCGTAACGTTGTAGGCATACACTGCGTTGGGCAACCACACATCCCAGTAGTCGGGGAACTCAATTTTTTTCTTCAAAATTCTCTGTAGTGTCCCTATTGCCCTCTCAGCTGTTCCATTTTCCCTTGAATTGTAACCTTTCGTTACTGTATGAACAATTCCCGACAGCTTCGAGAGTTCATCCACTACGCCATTTACGAACTCAGTCCCTTGGTCTGTATGCAGTTGTTTAGGCCACCGCCCTCCTTCGCAAATCCAACGTTGAAATATCACGTGAGCCACGGTTTCAGCACTTTTGTTCTTCATGGCATATGCTCCAAGCCATTTAGAAAACTGGTCTACTAGCACAAGTACGTATTTCATGCCATTAGCGCTCACGCCCATTTCGAGCACGTCTGCGCACACACACTCAAACGGCTTGCTCGCTACGAACGGTTTGAGGGGTGGAGTATTTACTGTTTTAGGATTTGTCAGAAGGCACTTACGACATCCTCTCACCCACATAGCTACGTCTTTGTCGAGAGTCTCCCAAAATACCTTCTTCTTTAAAACACGGCACATCTTTTGCGCTGAAAAATGTCCTGCCAGGCATCCTTCATGCGCCTCCTCCATAACCGATTTCCGTTTCGATCTTGGAACTATGTGCACTGTGCTCCCATCCTCACGCAAGAGCTTTAGGTCACCGTCTTCTATTGTGAAATCCGCAACCTTCAGTTTCTTGCCGAACCTTGGGAGCGCTACCTCCTCATCTAGCTTTCCTTCTGTCAGCCAGCTTATTACTCTACCGTAATCGGCGTCTTGTTCGAGCTCCTTGAACCACTCCGACTTTAGCTCCTCTCTCACCGCACAAACGATCTTTTCCTCCCCTGGATGTCCTATTTCATCGACATTTTCGTGCACGGGAAGGCCTCTTGACAAGGCATCCGCGACTGCGTTTGCCTTCCCTTTTACGTATTCTATTGTAAGCTTATACTGCTGTATATCCAGCGCCCATCTCAGCACTCGAGGCGACACATTACTTCTTTTGAACAGCGCTGTCAGAGGGAGATGGTCGGTCCTCACTACTATATTCATCCATACACAAAGTAGTGAAATTTCTGTAGCGCGAACACTATTGCTAAGGCCTCCAGATCGGTTACGTGGTACCTTGTCTCGGCCTTCGATAGTCTCTTCGATGCGAAGTATATGGGATGCAAAAAGTGGTCTCTCCCCTCTTGACACAGCACAGCTCCCACACCAACCTGCGACGCGTCAGTGTACACTATATACGGCCGCTCACCAGTACGAGCCGCTTCGACGTCTGGTTGACTAAGCACGGGTGTCGAGGTGAGGCGCTCCTTCAGTTTCAAGAAAGCTTCTTCATGAACCTCCTTCCATTCCCATGGGGCTTTTACACTCGTTAAATCGAATAGCGGACGTGCAATACGTGAGAACCCCAGCACAAATTTTCTATAGTAGCTACACATTCCTAGAAATGTACGCATTTCCGCGACGTTCGTTGGCCTCGGATAATTCTGGATTTTCTCTACTTTGCCGGGTCCACTCTCACTCCATCTCCTGCAATTTCGTGTCCCAGGAACATCACTTTATTGTTCATAAGGACACACTTCTGAGGTTTCAGCTTTAACCTCGCTTCTCGCAACGCTCGGAGCACTGTTTCTAGCACTTCAATATGGCGCTCCTTAGTCTCCGTAGCTATAAGTATATCATCTATATATACGAAAACTTCTTTATCGCGCAAACCACCTAGTACTTTGTCCATCAGCCTCTGGAACCGAGAGGGAGACGTGCACAACCCGAATGGAAGTACCTTGAACTGAAATAATCCCTCTGAGGTAGTGAAAGCGCTCTTCCTCTTGGCATCTTCAGACAAGGGGATTTGCCAGTACCCCGACGCCATATCCAGGGTACTGAAGTAGCGCCTTCCTTTTAGGCTTTGCAGAATCACGTCAATCCTTGGTAGGGGATATGCGTCTTGTCTTATGTGTTTGTTCAGTTGCCTGTAATCTATGCAGAGCCTTAAGATCCGTCCTTCTTCTTGACCAAAACTACGGGCGATGCCCAATCCGACTCCGACTCCTCTATAATGCCGCGTTCCAGAAGTTCCTTTATCATACCCTTGAACTCTGCACGCGCTCCTATCGGTATTGGTCTGGTCTTCTGACGTATGGGCGCAGTATCTCCGGTGTCGACTTCGTGCACCACAAGATTCGTCTGCGTAAGCTCCCGATCCTCAACCGCAAATACATCGTGGTAACACTCAACCAGTCTCCACAAGTCAGGTTCGTCCGGTAGCCCTTTCTCCCTGTTGTCTCTTAGATATGCATTCAGCATTCGCCACCTTTCTCCAGTCTGAAGAGCAGGTTTACCTACAACCAGCATGTCGTTGGCTTCTCTCGCCGCTACTTTGGCATATTCGGAACCACTTGGCTCCCAAGTGCCCACCTCTTGGTTCACTTTCAACACCAGAGCCTCCGGCGTAGCATTCAACACTGGTACTTCGGTTACGCCATCTTCGTCTATAGAACACAACCCTGGTAGTATCCACTCGCAACATGAATGCAGCATGTGTTCACCCGCATGCGCTTTCCCTTTGAGTGTCACCCATTTAAATTCGCCCGGAGCGACATACGCTCTCCTGCCTACTACGGCCTTATTTGTGTTATCGTCTTCATAGGGTGCTTCAATGGTTGCTTCCTTGGCATCTTTCTCTTGTCTGGGATAGTCGTCCGAGTGTTGAACTAACACATAATTGAGCGCTTTCAAGGCATTCGTACCCAGAACTAGCATAGTCCCATTCTGTGGACACACATGCATCTGCAGTGTTATTTCCCTGTTGTTGCCCTCCTGCAGCGGCACTTCGACCACCTTTACAAATTTCATTCGGTTTCCTGACGCATCGAAAATGCTCTTGTCCTTGTCCACTGGATGCTCTCGCAGCCGATGGCCTTCCCTCTCGATCCGCTGCACCACTCTTAATGGTACTATCGAGATTTCGGAGCCTGTGTCAAGTAACGCGGTTTACTGTCGCCATTGGCTTCTTCCGATACCACATTAGTGGCCCTACTACCAAGTTCTCTTCTTTTCTTACAATCTTTTGCTATATGGCCTTTGCTCTTGTAGTTATAACAGCGTACTCCTCGTGTCTGTTGGCTCTGACCACCTTTATCTTGAGCGGATACCTCTTCTCGGTTAACGCCGACCTTGTTGTTGTCATCTCTCCTGTGGTTTTGTTCTTTCTTGGGTGGCTCCCATGACATCTTTGGCTTCGAACAACCTTCGGAGCGATCGCCTCTTCCTTGATGAACGTGCGACCTAGCATTTTCCAAAATCATCCTCCTTCTCTCCACGCGCATTGCTGCTTGCTTCAGGTTCGCATAAGCACTGTACCCATCCTTCTCCATCGCCTCCATGAAGTAGTACGATTCCGGCCAATGAACTACTTGTTCGTACAGCTGCTGCGCTCTAACCGTCGACAAGGTTCCCTCATCCAATTCAGGGTATGCTTTGGCCGACAATCTCTCCAGCTCTACACAATACTCCGCTATTGTTTGAGTTTCTAATTTTTTGAGCTGTCGCAATTTACTGAGCGCGAGCACTTTTTTGTTTTATCATCTTCTTTATTGGCCCTAGACAAGGCTGCCATGATTTCTTCAAATGAACCATGCCTTACCTCACGTGGCAACGCTTCATACTGCGCCTTAGCCTTACCACTTAACTTGGATTTGAGCAACATCTTAAGTTCTTTGCTTGACCAGCTATGCCTAGGATACTTTAACAGGAACGCCTCCGTAAAGCTGTCCCATGTATAGTCTCTATCACTACCCGAATATACTTTTACATCTGGTAGTGCTATATATTTCAGATAACTATCCATGTGGCTAGTCCCAAAAGGTACACTTTTTCCACTGTTACACAAGCTCGTGTTCAAACTAGAGCAACTTTCACATTCACTTTCCTCATTTTCACTTGATGTAATGCTGGACTCACCGAGCATCATCAGCTTCTTCCTTGAGGATCGACCCAACTTGTGCGACGTCAAGCGATTCGAGCTGCGCGGCTCTTCTGGCCCACTCTGAAACACATTCACTTCAGGGCACAGTTCACGTTTGAGCCTACGCAACGATTCCAATTTATGTCTCATTTTGCAGTCCTGTTTCTCACCTGGTATTGTTTCACGCTTGACTTCTTTCCCCTGTCTTTTGAGCTCATTCAGCTCCCTTTCTCTGGCTTCCAACTGGCTCTGTAATGTACGCACTTCATTCTCTTTTTGTATCAATCGAGCCATTTTCTTTTTCAACTCAGCGCAATTGCTCACCAGTTCTTCTTGGCTCCACTTAGTCAACATTAGAATCTCGTCCACTAAGGCTGCTTTCTCTACCAAGCCTTCTATCGTCTCTACGAATTCTACTTGTGTTTCGCAATCAAAAGACGCGATGAGTTGCCTATAGCTCTGCTGCTCCTTGGCGCATTTTTCGAAGGCTTCCCTGACCTTCGATACTCCTTCCTTAGCAGTTCCTACTGCCATACTGGCAACCTGTTCAAACCTTTCTCTTTTGGGGTCGCTACTGCGCCAGTGTTTGCTGACCTCCGCCCCCACTAAGATTTCTATTTCCTTGATCCTT